TTAGCAGAAGGGAGCCCCAAACTCCCACGGGCCACCCTCGAAAGTTTTCTTTTCCATACGTGTGTGTTAATTGTGCTCTGGAAGAGTTTCAAAAGTTTGTTCGGGAGCGCAATCGGCAGTGTTCTGAACAGGTATAGAATATACATCAGTTCCATCATTTTGATGAGGTTTATTCGACCCAACCAGATACCTCAAATCCCTCCCATTGGACAATTGCTGATTTTAGTTTATGTATGACTGGGTAATTATTTTCTTGTGCTACGTTCTGGATGGATTTAGTAAGTTTGATTCCTAAATATTGTAGGGAGGTTTTGCGCCAGTCAAAGGCATAGTGTGATTTTAAGTCTGAGAGGACAGTGTTTGGCATATTGATAGGCAGGGTTTTTAGCGTGTTGTTCCTATAATATGATACCTCCCCATATGTGTATAGGAGGGTTAGAAGTCTGGGTAATGAGGATTCCGGTTGAGTTATAAACAGCAGGACATCGTCCGCAAATAAAGCCAGTTTTTTTAGTGCCCCCTGGCGTGTTTAGCCCCTGTATGTTGGGATCGTGTCTGATGAGCCAGATCAAGGATTCCAAGCTCATGATAAAAATGATGGTGGAGAGGGGACACCCCTGCCGTGTTCTGTTGCGTATCTCTAACTGGTTGGATATGAACCCCGTGCTGAACACCCTGGCAGTTGGTCTCTGGTATAGGGCTAGAATGCATGATCTCACTGCAGGGGAGAATCCCAGGTTGGTTAGTGTTAGTGTCATGTAGTCCCAGTTTAGGCAGTCAAAAGCCTTTTCGGCATCCAGCACCAAAATCAGGCCCGATTGGGACGTCCTGTTTGCCCAGTCGATCAGGTTTAGGAAGTGCCTAGTGTTATCTCCCACCTGTCTCCCAGGCACAAACCCTGCCTGTTCTTCCGATAGAGATCTGGAAGCAGTGTTTTGAGCCTTGATGCTATTAGTTTGGCATATAACTTGGTATCTGCGTTTAGCAGGGAAATCGGGCACAGGTTGACGCAATGAATGGGGGTTTGTTGGGTTTGGGCAGCGTCACAATGAATGCCTCTAGCATTTCCTTGGGCATGTTACCGGATTCTTTTATGTTGTTGAATAGTTTAGTAAGGGGGAAATCAGGTGTGGCGCTAGTTTAATGTAATAGTAGTTGGACAGTCCATCCAGACCCAGAGATTTATGCTTGGGGAGGGATTTTATGGCATCTTCTACTTCCTCCTTCAAGAAAGGGTCTTCCATGAAGGAGCATTGTGCCTGGGATAGCCGCGGGAGTTGGATCCGCTCCAGAAACTGGCCTTCTTTTTCCCTTTTTTGACCACTCACTAAGAAACAATATTCTTACCTCTTCTTACAAAATTGCAATATTGGAGTTATCCCCCTTTTCCCCCTGTTTCTTAGGTGATTACGTAATTAGATCAATTTTAGAAATTTTCATTTCTAAATTTTTCTATTTGGTTTTCAATCTACTACAATTTGTTATTTAGTAACTAAGCCCCTGTGTGTTAGTAAAACACAGACTCAGATACAAAAATACAAACACACACACTTTTAAATAATTTAAAACTGGGTTTCTAACGTATGCAATTGAAGGTAGCTCTAACACCCAAAACAGAGTCTCTCTGTTCCAGTCCAATGAAAGGTGCATAGCAGATGAAGAGGGAATAGCGCCTTGTTAAGTTTTTGAGGTAGATGCATTCTCAGAGGTAGTATGATATGTGGAGACAGAAAGATACAGCAGAATATAGTGCAGTATGTCCAGCATAAATGGCAAAATAAGAAGAAGTGAAAAGGCACTTTCAGATTTAAGAGTTAGGATAGCTTTATTTAGATGCTCACCGTTGGTAAAATCCCTGCCTAGGGATATTTGGTGTCTTTTACTAGTTAAAGTGGACCTCCAGCCAGGTATGGTAGACCAAGAGGAGTTACACCACACCACAGGGTGGAGGTTTTGCCCATTTCACAGCGCTGAGGTGATATTTTCCCCACCAAAGGGATTAGGAAGAGGGAAGTGCTCATACCATTATACCGAGCACTGGTGAGACCTCACTTGGAGTATTGTACGCAGTACTGGAGACCGTATCTTCAGAAGGATATTGATACTTGAGAGAGCGTTCAGAGAAGGGCTACTAAACTGGTTCATGGATTGCGGGATAAAACTTGCCAGGAAAGGTTAAAGGATCTTAACATGTATAGCTTGGAGGAAAGACGAGACAGGAGGGATGTGATAGAAACATTTAAATATATAAAGGGAATCAACACAGTAAAGGAGGAGACTATATTTAAAAGAAGAAAAACTACCACAACAAGAGGACATAGTCTTAAATTAGAGGGACAAAGGTTTAAAAATAATATCAGGAAGTATTACTTTACTGAGAGGGTAGTGGATGCATGGAATAGCCTTCCATCTGAAGTAGTAGAGGGTAACACGGTAAAGGAGTTTAAGCATGCGTGGGATAGGCATAAGGCTATCCTAACTATAAGATAAGGCCAGGGACTAATGAAAGTATTTAGAAAATTGTGCAGACTAGATGGGCCGAATGGTTCTTATCTGCCGTCACGTTCTATGTTTCTATGTTTCTAATTGTGGAAAGAATTTAGGATGAAGTCCAAAGGTGTAATAAAAAAATTAACTAATGTATTAGATAAACTAGTATATAAGTAAATAATGTAATAATAGTAGTATAAAGCAGTAAAAAAAAAAAAAACATTTCACCAACAGAGGTCATTTCACACTTGGGATTGTACCGCCGGTGCGGTCTAAATAGACCTATCCTAACTCTTAAATCTGTAAGTGCGTTTTCACTCCTTCTTATTTGTCGTTTATGCTGGACATACTGCACTATATTCTGCTGTATCCTTCTGTCTCCACATATCTTACTACGTCTGAGAACGCATTCATCTCATAAACATAACAAGGCGCTACTCCCTCTTCTTCTTCTAAACACAAACACTTAGTGAAACAGTGACAGTGACCCATACACACAAACACTCATTGACACACACACTGACCCATATGGACATGCATACACTCACTGACACTGTAATACTCCTTGTAAGGACTCTGTAGACAAAATATTGACTGGATACCTTTTGGGGATTTTACTAACCAGTAAACAGTCTGGCATTTTTGTTTGTCTTTGGTTTGTTAGAGCCTGATTATAGACTAGGCATATTAGATCTATGTATTAATACAAATCCCACACCATCACCACCTAAAAACAGCAACTTATCTTAAAATGTAACAATACAGCTTCCTCTGGAGATATCCCAGTTAATATCCCATAAAATCAGCAAACCAAAATATGTAAAGAGGATACAGTTGTGAATCTACAAAAAATGTTAGTAGTTCTTTTTTTTTTTGTAGATTCACAGCTGTATCCTCTTTATACTAGACCTATTCCTAATCTTTAACTATAAAGGGTACCAACCATGGTCTTAAATGTTAGGAGGTATTTGAGGATGTCCTATGGGTAATGGGCAGCTGGGGGTGTCTGGCCTGTTGCCAGGTAAATGTTCTCCTGGAACTCCTTGTTGAGCCACACAGACTGACCCATACAAATACACACAAACCACAAACACAGTCAACACACAGAATAATCTCCCACACATGCACTTCATCCCCCCACACATTCACAGACTGACCCAAATACACACATACACAGGCAGACTGACACACACTGAGCCATACACACACAAACACACACACACACACTGACCCATACACACACACACACACACACTGACCCATCCATACACAGACTGGCCGATACAAGTACACACAGATTGACCCATAAAAACACACACATACTGACCCATACACAAACAGACCGACCCATACAAACACAGACTGACCCATCCATAAACAGATTGACCAACATACACAGACTGGCCCATACAAATACACACAAAATGACCCATACAAACAAACACAGAATGACCCATACATACACAGAATGACCTATACACAGACAGACCAACCAATACAAACGCACACTGCCCAATATAAACACAGAGTGACCCATGCAAACACACACAGATTGATCCATACAAACATACATAGACTGGCCCATATAAACACACAGAAGGACACATACACACACAGACTGACCCATACAAACACAGACTACCCATAAAACACAGACTGACCCATATAAACACACGAAGATTGACCTATACAAACACAGACTGGCCCATATAAACACGCACACTGACCCATATAAACACAAATAGACTGACCCATATAAACACACACAGAATGACCCATATACACACAAATAGACTGACCCATATAAACACACACAGAATGACCCATATACACACAAATAGACTGACCCATATAAACACACACAGAATGACCCATATACACACAAATAGACTGACCCATATAAACACACACAGAATGACCCATATACACACAGACTAACCCATGCAAACACACACAGACTGGCCAATATAAACAGTCTGACCCGTACAAACTCACACAGACTGACCCATATAAACACAAACAGACTGACCCATATAAACACAGACTGACCCATAAAACCACAAACAGACTGACCCATATAAACACACATTAACTGACGAATACAAACACAGACTGACCCATACAAGCACACACAGACTGACCCATACAAGCACACACAGACTAACCCATACAAACACAGAATTAATGATTCAATTGCAAATTTTGGGCAGAACTGAGTGAATTGCAAATATTATGCAATTCAACTATATTTTCTGCCTTTACTGTTGTGGGTGAAACCATCCAATACCCTGTCAGTTCTCCTCAATTCACAGATTAGTGAATAAATCTGGAAGAACTTTAACCTGTTATAAAAACACAAAACAAGGTAATAAAAAACATAAAATTTATTGAGCAATAATTATTATTATTTTTTACACACTGGATATCAACTAAATTAGTTATAACATTAAACAAAATAAATACATATCGAATGAGTAACAATTTATAAAATAGTTTTAAGAGGACATTCATTAAAATAAATATTTGTAAAAATATTGACAACCTTATAAACATTAATTTATTCTGCATGTACAAATTGTATACCATGCATCCACACATATAATTAGAGATTTAGAGAGTGTTTGTGGATAGTGAAAAATAAATAGTGCATTAAAAATTTTTATAAATATTTTACTCAATACTTTTATTCCCACCCCACCTCTAGCTTATAAAAAAAAATCTACAATCATGTTTAGCATTTTATAGCGTTTTTAGGTTTAAATCAGTGTAATCTTAAAAAAAAAGTTGACTTAAGGGAGTATTACTCAAGTGATCCTACACAATTTATCCTTTTGGTTTTATAGGGATCATTTATAAAAAGAGCTCTCGAATACCCTGTATTACATGCCAACAGGCAGAGAGTCATATAATAGAGCTCTTTAGAAGAATGCACGGATTACGATCTGAAATGTTATCATCTGAGTGTGCACAAACATGTACTAATTTGCACACCTATGCATATACTTTTCAATAGCCACTAATTATTGGCAAATGCTGTTTCACAGAGCATAGATTCCAAAGTATGTCTGTCCAGGCTCCAGATTCAGGTTCTTTTCTTTAGTTGTATTGGTATAGACCAAGTTCCCCTTCTTGAGCCTAAATACCCCTCCTTGGAATATAGATCTCCTCCAGCTGGACGTCGTTGTGGCCCCCTCTCCGCATGCTGTTTTCTGGGCACTGAGAAGGATTTTGTCATCGTCTTCAGGGTCATGTTGAAGAAGCACAACATGTGACAGTAAAATTTGCATGAGCTTGGGACAGCTGTGTCCAGAGAAGGTTGTCTGGGTATATATGTAGTAGAAACCATCACTGGGTATGTAGACTTTGTTGTCTATTAGTGACAGTTGTCCCTGGTTGATTCCGTTGTCAGTGTTATTTGTCCAGAGGAGATTATTCCTGACAAAGGGATTGGCTGGAAGATACAGGAAAGAGTTATTGCTTAGATTCAGCAAAAAAAATAAAAAAAAATTAAAAAAAGTCAAAATCTCGGCAAGTTTTACCTTCAAAATGAGCAGCTGGTTTCATGTTGAATCTTTGACCTGAACAATAGAAAAGTAAGACAATCAATCTAAAGTTACAAGGGAGAAGAACTCCTTTAACCGTACCATCACCCATAATATAATCCACACCGCTCATGACAATATCATTAGGACAAAACGTACAGGAAAGCAGAACTCCTTGACCCATGGTTCATATTTTCTCAAAGAAAAAGTGATGGCCACATAAATACAGATATTACAGCCCACCCTGGAGAGACAAAAAACAATGCTCAAATCCTACAACAAAGAGCACGACACTACAGACAGCTGTGGGCCACTAACATGGATCATTCATCATTCCTTTAGAACCTGGTGGAATTCCATTTCCATGTTTCATTTTAGAAGATTGGAAAAAAAAGGAGACAGCAGAAAAGAAGGAACAACAAAACTGCAACATATGTAATGAATACTTGGACTGAATTGCCAAGATAAATTAAACACAAAAACAAATAATGTGGAACAGTATCCACTGCAGTGATAACCAAGAACCAAGATGGTTCTTCGCCTACCTTTATTGTCTTTTGCAACTTTTGAATGAGATGCTCTGCTCTGTGTGGAGAAATTAGAATTTCAGTTATTAAGCAGATTATTTAGCACGATTAAATATATATAGTCCCTAAGTTAACATATTTTATATTTAATAGTTACTTTTTTTTATAGTGATAGTTATTTTTCAAACGCAAAAACAGTAATTTGTGCTTAGGAACAGCAAGTACATTTTCTTGACATTTTCAGTTAAGCTCGACACACCACAGTTTTGTTCTCTGCTTTTTTTCTGATGTTTTTTAGTTTGGTTTATATTTGTTTTGTTGTTCAGATTAAGATCTCAAATATTCAGTGGTTTTCTGAGAGCTGAGCTACTGAGCGAAGACTGAAACACCAGCGGCTCTTTGTATGCAGTCTTTGTATGCAGTCTTACAATTAATCAACAAACAAATAGTGTGATAAAGATAGTAAATTTTATAAATAATTAACAACATTTTTATAATAATTCAATTCCAATTATTTATAAAATGTGCTATCTTATTCACACTATTTGTTAGTTAATTAATATATATCAGGGCAAAACATTTTCACTCACCACTAGCACCACTTGGCTAGAGAAATTTTAGCCTGGCGAGTAAAAAGGTATCCCTGATGAATGTTCCTGGCTAGTAGTGTAGGACTTGAAAAAAAAAATATATATATATATATATTATTATTTTTTTATATATATAGATATATATATATATATATATATATATATATATATATATATATATATTTTTTTTTTTTTTTTTTTTAATTTTTTTTTCTTTTTTAAAGAAAATGTGCTATACAGATGTTGATCTTACCTGGACTGGGGAAGAACTTGCGATGGACAGCAGATAAAGTAATGTCACAATGGAAGCCCAGAATTGTCTTCTAAAACAGACATGTTGCATGCAGCAGGTGGCTGTGGGTAACGTGTGTGACATGCTGCTTGTGTGCACAGGATATGTGTGTAGCTGCAGTTATTAGAATGATGCTTGTGTCTGATGAACCAGATAGTGGCCTGCCTTATAACCATCAGAAACCTAGTGGGAGGTAGGGAGAGTGTCAATGGTGGGAAACCACCCGAAATGATTATATGTAAGAGAGGAAGTCTAAGAGAAGAACTCAGAGGAAAGAGGACTCGAGTAGGAATTCCCTACCTGGAGAATCCAGAATAAATGTGTAAGAGACATTATTGTAGAACAGATGGAGTGAAGAGGAAGATAAGGTTATAGAAAGTGTAGAGGAAACTAGAGAGTTGTGTGTCTTACTGGGGGGAAACTAACTACATTACAATGAATGGAATACTTTTGTCCAATCTAATTATAGAACCTATGAATTAAAATGCATATTCACTCTCGCAGCTTAGTACATAGGGTTCCCTCAGTGGAATAAAATCTCTCATGTTTATCGTGTCTTACATTAGTGAGTTATGACATTTTAAATGTTAGTTTGAAGAGGTCTGTCAAAAAGGAAGGAATTATACATGGATTAAAATACTGAGCCGCACTCGGGTTTAGTCTCATGTTTGGCTTCCTGTATATTCTACTCAATCTGTGAGCCAAAACGAAAAATAATGGAAGAGTGGAAAAGATATTTACTGATTGGGTGATCAACTGTATTCCTGAACTTCGAACCAAAATGTACCAAAAATTATTGATGGCTAGAGGACAGCCACTAATGATGATTTTATTCACAGATTAAGAGAGATGTGACCTGTAGAGAGGAAACAAAAAATCTGTATTTATATAGTATATATAATATATAAAAATATAAAAACAGATTATTTTTTTCCTGCTGAATTGGGATTTTCGTCGCTAAAATTCTGCTGAAATAGTCTCAAAAATGTTCTGTTTTTGTGAAAATGGTACAGCCGAGACAAATATTCTCATGGAGCGCAAATCTACAGATATCCCACTAGATTCAGAAAGAAAGGGACCATGTCGGGATTAAATCACTCCTAAAATTTGGCAAATACAAAAACCTCTTTGAGTCCTCTTCAAGACATTTACTAAGTAAGGACAATGTATTGGGCCCACTGGGAGGGGTCCCAGTTAAACTAATTTCAGCCATTACAGAGGAAACGTTTGTAGGACAAGCAACCATCTTCAACAGAACAGATACAGTAACCTTACATCCTCTTACATGTGTTTGTAGGCTATTTGTATACTCCCTCAGGACTCTGTCTGCTATGTTAGCCCTAGTTGATATACATAATTCTGTTGTCACTCAAGGTTCTAAATGAAGTGGTCCAGGTGAAGTAGCCCTATCATACTAGCCCTTTAATCTAAAACTTTGCATTTTTTGTTTTCATGACAGCCATAAGAGTCGCTTCTGCTGCAACAACAAAGTTTGACTTAGTCATGTGACATTCGATGTCCATGAGGACGTTGAACGTCATCCAACGCAGCTCATAAGGAAGCACTGGATTCAATTCTTCCCTATGAGAAGCATTTGACTGAATGTGTGCGTGGTACTCCCAATACATGTGCATCTCATCCTCGATGCTTATCTATTAGAAACATTATATTGGAGGATCATTGTGAAGGCAACACCTTCAGGATAGTGCCTCTGGAGGAGAAGCAAGCAGCAGAACTGAGTGAGTCTCTGCTCTGGAAAAAGTTAAGGGTCACCTATTTTACAGATCAAAGAGGTGAGGTGGAGTCTGAAACTAAATAGGGAGTAGGCCACAACAGCGTTAGTTGTATATGTCTGCTGTGTTTTGAATTCATGATGCCTTAGTGTTCCTTAACCCTGTACTGTCTATAAGTCCTTTAAGATTCCCAAATTCTTGTGCATTTAATGTTTCTGCACTCCTTGAGATATAACACAATCATGTAGACTTGAAGAGTAGTTAGTTTCATTGTTGCTTTGCCGCACAATAGATTATTGATGACCTGATTGTCTGCAGGCCGACTTTTGTTAATGCATAACCTGCCTTTTTGAAGCATAGTCAATCTTGAAGTGTGAACTATTGGCCTTTTGAGATTGATTATGCATTGAAAAGGCAGATTATCTTTCCATAATGATAAATCTAGTATTACACGTTGATAATGATTTTGATTGGACAAATAACACAAAACAGCAGGTGACTGCAAGATTGCTTATCTGTCCGAATTAATTATCAACCAGACAACTTCTCCACTGACCATTAGATAGTAAACGAGACACCGAATGTAGATCCAGTGAAAAAGTGTGAGGATTCTATATTTGAAATGTACCTCCGGGGACTAGACGCCACAGTGATCTTACTGGCCTCCAATCGGCAAGAAATGGAGAATGGCACTTAGAAGCAAAAGAAAAAAGTTCTAAATTCAGGAAAGTTCAAGATCGACGTCAGAGAGGATCAGACAGGTTTATATGAAATTGGATTTGCCGTTGGTCCCAGATTGTTAGCAATATATTATAACAGATGCTTCTAGTTATGTTTTACTTTTCTGTACACTGAGTGTGAGTGTGAGTGTGATATGAGAGTGTGCTCTCATGGATTTCCTTTGGAGTAAGTACTTCTCTATAGGCGTTTATTTGCTAAACCTAGAAATGTAATGAATTGGAATTGAAAACTGAATTGCAGAATTTAGGCTAAGCCAGACAGACTGTAGGTATAACTAAGTTGGCAGATTTTTGTACATCAGCTCTTTAATTCGGTGCTTTGTGAACAAACCTCTACGTGTTTCTATGGCGTAAAACTAAACGAAACGCTGTGATTTTTATCTCTCTCCTGATTTTAGTCCCAAGGAGCTCTCTGCTTTTATCTGTTGCTCTAACATCACTAATTTAATGCTGTGCTTAGTACATTCTCCTGTTCCCTCTGCATAATTAATATAATCCCTATTGTACAACTCGTTATCTGCCGGCACTTCTCATTTTGCCCCTTTCCCTGCTACGTTTGCATATATACGCAATTAATTGGCTCCCGTTCAAAGAGGAGCCTCTGTAACCCTGACCGCTTTTCTGTCACAGGGACACGAGCCGATGGGGGTTTGACTCTTAAGTGGGTCAAGTGAGGAAGATGAGTTCATCAACAGCCTGTCACAGAGAAACAAAACAGGGATACCGCCATATCAGACATAGATGTGAAAATGGAAATAAGGCCTTTGTTTCAGACAGGGGCAGATTTATTCTTTGGGGCGAGTCACAGCTGGTTCTGGCTGCTTGCAGAAGCATACGTGAAGTTCCGTAGGTTCTAGATGAGAGACTGATGGAAGTCTTTTTTTGTCTCCCGCTGCCACGACAGAATTCATACCTTTATTTATGTTTTTGAAGAGACTCAACAACTAGAAGCAGTTTGTGAAACCACAGGCAAGCCCGAAAAAAAATAGACTTTATAAATTAAGAGGATTCACT